CGCAGGGCGAGCCTCATCGGGCAGTGCCCGCGGCCACGTGACCAGGAGAGCGACGCCGCCCTCGCGCGTAGCCTCGGTCTGGGAGTGGAAGACCTTGTGCGGGAAGGGGGAGCTGGCAAACAAGACCTCCGGCTGCAAAGAGACTCCGTGGCACTCCTGAATGAGCACGAGGGCCCCCCTCCTCGCGTGCATCTCGAGCTTGGCAAACTTGCGCCTCCTCCGCCGCGGGCGGTAGCAGCGCGGGCCTCGCGCGCTCCAGCTGACCGCGTGCGCGCCCGATGAGCTGGGAGAGAAACATCACGGAGACCAGCGAGGGCTAAATCGACCACAGCGGGGTGTCCGTCGCGCGAAAGAGCCGCTGGAACTGAGCAGCGACCGCAGCCTTGCCAATGTTGAACCGTTGTAGAACCTGCCCATCCCAGCGAAGCCGCGCGCTGTCAGCAGCAGTGGGGCCGATCTCGAGCGCGACGAGCAGGACCGCGTCGATGGACACGATGCCTTCGTCGCCAATGCGACGGAAGTGATGTCGGGGATGCCGTTCGGCAAGCAAGCGAACCAGACGCTTGGACTGTAGTTCTCGCCTGAGCTGTTTGGGTGATTTGTCTGCGTTGATGTAGAGAGGCGCGATGGCCCCAGACGTGTTCGGAGCAGAGAAGGTTCTCCACTGTCCGCCGTTGCGCAGATTGCGCGCGAGCGAAATGCTCCTCGTCGAAGCTACATCCTCCCAGAACTCGAAGGAATAACCTACGCGATGGGACATCACCAATGAACTCGACGTCGCTGAGGGAGACACCTGCTGCAGTGATCCATGGCTCCAAAGAGCGCCGCACCTCCGCAGGTTCGATAGCCGAGGGCGCTCCAATGCTGTATAGGTGTGGGTCGGGTGGACGATCCCAGACTGCGAGTGCAGCCATGTCGAGCGGCGGGAGCGTGGCCTCTGCCATGGCGAGAGAAGACTGAATGCGCTCGATGTCCGAACGCATATGCTGCTGCTCCTGCTCGACAACCTGTGTGCGACTGCCGAGCTCACGGAGACTGGTGTCAAAAGCGTCGATGCGGCCCCGCTGTTGTTGCACATGCGAAATGACCAGCTGGAACTCACTCTGGAGCGCGAACGTCGCTGACTGCATGATGGCGGCGGTTTCTTGCTGAAGACGTTGGGTTGCTTTATGCATGTGGTCTGAGAAGACGGCAGAGAGGCGTTCCTCCATCTCGGCAGACCCTGGAACATGTAGCCTCTGCCGGTCAGGTTCAAGAGAGGGTGGAACCGACCGCTCGAGCTTCTGCCGTGGGTCGCTGTGGTGAAGCGGGTCCTCACCAGTTCGTCGCTCCTCGTCAGCACAGGCGTGGCAGTCCTCCCACGCACGGAATAATTCAGAGTCACCTGCTTGTTGGTGCCCTGGCTGTCGTTCTCGACGTTGTGACGCGGGTCCTCCTGATGTGCCCGCACGGCGATCCACTGGGGTGAGCTGTCTGTCGTCACGATGTGCTCTGCGTTGTCGCCGTTGACCACGATCGCTGCGGGAACCACTGGCTTCACCTTCGCGACGTCGCTGCCTACGACGATCCCGCGCGGGACTAGAGGAGGACCTCGAGCTGCCGCTTGAAATCATAGCGAAGAACACTGTCGTGGCCACGGCAGCGGGACGGGACGATCCACTTGTAAGCGACGGCGGCGATCTCAACACCACGGAGAAGACAGCACGCCAAAATATGGAAGATATGGAAAGCTGGCGGGCGGCAGCTCGCCCCTGAGTGCAGCTGCGTGAACGAAAGAGCTCTGGGCTGGAATGGGAGCCTATCCCGCTTAGGCCGTGAAGTGAACCATCTTGGCTTCTTGCGCCAAAATGGCTACGGATGATTGATGGTGATGATGATGATGATGATGATGATGAGGATGATGATGTGGTGGTGGTGTGTTCCTGCGCGGGGTGTCATGAGAAAATGGTGCTGGGTAATGAACGAGAAAGTGTGTGTGTGTGATGTGCGAATGAATCTGATGATGATGATGATGATGCTGATGATGATGATGGCGGTGGCGGTGATGTTGATGACGATGATGATGATCGATGGCCGATGGTGATGGTGATCGATGGTGGGTGACTGAGTGTGATGCTGATGGTGGTGATGATGACCGGTGACGGGGTGAATGCGTGAGCGAGGCGGAGAGTGGGAGGAAGGTAGGGTTCCTGCGCGGAGGGTGTCCAGAGAAAACAAGAACCCCACGTTGGATGTGGGGAAAAATGTATGTTGTTGCAGCTGGGACTACCGAGCAAACATCAAAGGACGTCTGTGATTCCTCTTGTACTACTGTGCGGGCTCCTGCAAGACGCCCGGTCGCTGCTCGAGGGACAAGTTGGGAGAAAGGCGGAACGACAAACCACGGGGAGGAGGAGGAGTGGGGGAGCAGGGGGGGCAGCGGGAGGAGCAGTCGCAGGCTGCACAAAGCCCAAGGTCAGATCCTGTAAGTATGTCGCCGTGTCGCCAAGGCATGGCGTGGGGTGCCACGTGCGTTAGCAAGGGCGATTCATTCATACTCTTTGATTCCAGAATCAATATTCGTTTGGCTCTTTTTAGTAAGCGCGGACCCCGGCTGACGAAGATGTGCACGGGTCAGGTGGGGCCCACGAAGCGTGTCGCACGAGTAGTCCCTCGAAGCCCAGGGCCTGGAGCGAGGGTGGACGAGCAGGCGCCCAAATAAGCCTCAACAGTGCCTTAGAAGAGCCAGAGCCCAACTTGGACCAAGACTGCTCCCAGAACGACCAGGACAATTTGAAATGCATGACACTTTGTGGAGGGGCCTCTTCGGGGTCTACTGGGAGCCCTTACCCCTTAACCTGGGTTGAGCCGCCTGGGGGGATCGTAAAGTTCATTGGGAAATCATGGAGCTGTTTTGCTAGGTCTTCGGCCCTCGAAAAAAACACTTCGTGGGTGCAGCTTGGGCTGGTTTGGGCAGCCTCGGGGCAATCCTGGGCAGGATCCGGTCGCGCAAGGCCGTCTTGGGGGAGGTCTTGGGGCGTCTGGCAACCCCCTTGGGGCCTCTCGGGCGCCTGGGGGGCGACCCTCGCTGGAGCGAGACTGTTGTGCCAAATGATACCACCGTGGGCCCCAGCGACTGTGCAACTCATCGCAATGCAAGCCGTCGAAGACCATGCAAGCTGGTGAAGATAAAAACTAAACGATGCAAAGCAGCGCAACTCAATACAAAGAAGTTCAAACACATACTGCGCAAACCTGAACAGATGAGCGCAACTCCAAAGAAAACACAAGAGTGGAACACACTTCAAAACAACCAATGGCACAACCCATGGCGTCAGCGATAGCGCCACACATAGCCCAACCCATGGGGCAACCGAGTCGACGCAGGACCCAATGGGCTGAACCCTTGGCGCAGCTTGAGGCGCAACAGATGGCTACCAAGAGGCCGCACCAGTTCAGACCCAGCCCTTCAATCGAAACTCCGAAAGCCCTAAATGCAAGCACAGCACATCACTGGTCAGATCCCAATCGGAGGGAATACTGCCATTGACACCGTGCCTCTGGTCGCTTCAACCAGCCTTTGAATCATAATAATGACTGACCCCTGACGCTCAAGCCAGCCTGGGAAGCGCACACAGGCGAGATGCTTAACTCAGAGACGATGCAACGCGATGCAAATAATAGGCGTGCCATGGTGTATCGATTCACGCTGTATGCTGAGCACGACCCCACGATAACATGTGGCACCATCTGTGCTGACTAGGGAGCGCAGAGTCACATGCGAAGCTGGCGATTCGCTTAAATACCCCTTGCCGCCCTCAAAAAGGGGGAAATGATGCGACGATATACAGGCGACGTCACGCGATGCAATGCAACCGTACAAAAGAACATGCACTGCACACATGTTGAACTGTCTGTGCCGAGGTAGCACGCGGTGCAGAACCTGCTAGCATGGTACAAGATCAAGCTTCAGAGTCTGATACAGCTGAACACATCATGTCATAAAGCGTGGCGAAACGCATCATGACGCTGCACAGTAACGCAACTTAGAGCACTCGCATCTCGCAGGCCATCATTCACATCGCGCGGTATGATCATCACGCCACAGAACCAGCTCAGTGCGACATAATGTAGCTGCACAACAAGCTGTGAAGCAACACGTGCGGCTTGTATGTGCACCATGACATAGACCCGACACATCACATCATATCATCGTGTATCACATCATAGAACAGCATAGCGTAGCACAACTTGATACATCGTGACGCCGTCTATAAGACTTTAACATGTCACGCGGCGCTCGTGGGACTTGGGGCTGGATAACTAACTGCTGACGAAGGCCACTTCCCTCCACAGAACAAGACGGCAGTAATTCCCCAGGCCAGCTCGGCGACACCGCAGCCGCCTTCGAACTTCAAGGGGGGCCATGACGGGCCTTCAAAAGTATCTCAGAGCCCTCTTGGAGGTCATCAGGTCTCCCTGGAGCCCTCCCTGGGCTCTCTGGGGTAGCCCAGGACGTCCCAGACGCGCTTGGCTGACCCATGGAGGTCGCCTAGTGGGGGAGCCTGGCAAGACGGGGACCTTGTCCAACAATGCACAGAGCGCGGCTGGCACCAAAGAGGCATCCGAGGGGCCTCGTTTCCGCGACCCAGGCACGGTGGCGGTGCAGGGCCAAAGGCCACTACGCACTAGACTACGCGATGCCATATGTCAGATTCGAAGTGTGTCTTAATGTGCAGACGCGCGGCCCATGGTAAATCGATGGACTATTGGAGCCACTGGTTTGCCAATCCGCGAAACCCTCGCTGCACGTTTATGCCCTGGCTGGCGAACCAGACCAGGCAGCAAGGAGCAGGATACAGGAACGCGAAAGAGACAAGCAGTGCAGGGGGAGGAGCAGCAGCAGCAGCAGCAGCAGCAGCAGCAGCAGCAGCGGCAAAGGCGGCGGCAGTACCATCTGCGGCAGCACGAGCAGAGGGGCAGGGGAGGCGGAAGAGCCCCGCCGCTGCACGGCACGCTTTCTACGCGGGCGCGGGCTTCCAGGGGTTGTCTCGGCTGAGGGCGGCCGACAGCACCTGCACCGCGCGGCCGACGTGCTGGGCCGCGGCGGCCATGCTGTCCTCCACTCCGCCCCCCGTGTCGCGGGCCATGTACGCCAGCAGCGCGGAGGCCTTCTCCAGCGCCTGCGCCGTCGTCGACCGGCCCTGCCCCCAGTCCTCCGGGTCCTGCTCGGGGGCCGGCTCGCCCCGCGCCTCGCACGAGCGGCCCGCACGGCACTCCTCCCGGCGCGCCGCCCGCCACTCGTCGGCCCACGTGGAGCCCTGCAGCCTCTTGCCCTCGCCGCTGCTCTCGGGCTCGGCAGCCGCCGCGCGGCTGTCCTCCGGCCGCCCCGTCCACCAGTCGTACGCAGCGGCTGCCTCGCCGGTCCCCTCCTGGGAAGCCATGTCACCCCACGGGCTGCAGGGCTGGCTCGCGCGGGTCTCGCCTGCGCGCGCCCAGGGATCGTCAGCACTGGCGGGGCCGCGCGACCACCCGTCCCCGTTGGCCTCCTCCAGCTCGGCATTCGCGTCGCCGGGGTGGCCCACGCGGCTCTCCTGCGACCAAGCTGGCCAGTCACCGTTTCCAGCGGGCGCCTCGCTGTGTGGCCACGTGCCCCCGCCGGAACCTTTTTGGGCAACCCAGGTGCCCCATGGGTCGGCAGGCTGGCCCGGAGCGGGTGCCTCGCTGTGCGACCACCTGTCCTCTCCGCTCCACCTGCTGCCAGACTGGTCCCACGCTTGCACACGAGACTCAGCTCGCTCGCGTGCGACTTCGACGACTGCCTGCGCGAAAGGAGTCGGCGTCTTGAAAGTGATCCACCCGAAATTCTGTGGTCTCTGCAACAAGCAGCGGCATACGAATTGCACGAGGATGGAGGTACTCATCTGGAGGGTATCACAGCAAGTTCATTAACCCGCCCCTCCTGCAGAGGGATGGAAGGAAAGACACACACATAATTATGGATGTGCTGTCTGTGATAAACCCACGTTGGAGCCTGAGCCGCGTGGCCGCTCCGTTGGACCCCCCAGACATCCAAGAAACGGCGACCTCGTGTGGCGGCACCAAAAGGCGAACTCTTGTTCGGGCCGCCGTCGAGGGTGCCCTGTGCTGGATTCCCCAGGGGCACACGGAGCGCAGAGAGCTGTACGTTGCGGAGCGCACATCGGAGCGAGGTCGCGGGCCGATGTTCAGTACTCTGATGGAGCTCACGAGGTGGCGACTGTGATAATGCCTCGCCATCCGAGAAAAAGACTCTCGTGGCGGTCTGGGCGGAAACTGGGGCTGCCCGGGGGGGGCCCAGAAGCGTCCAGGGGATGGACGCGCCTCGGCGCCTCACATTGTCCGGCGGTCCCGGAGCCAAGGGGGTATTGATTCGAATGTGTGACAGATGAGGATGGGAACGATGATGATGATGCTGTTGATGATGATGCTGATGCTGATCATGATGATCATCAGGAAGATTATTAGGATGATGATGATGTTGCTGATGATGCTGCTGATGATGCTACTGATGATCATCAGGGATATGATGATGATGCTGATGCTGATGCTGATGCTGATGCTGATGCTGGTGGTGATGGTGACGATGATCTTGATGGTGGTGATGATGTGTGTGACGATGATGATGGTTAAGATGATGATGATGACGACGATGGTGGTGATGATGAAAGTCTGAATGCAATGATGGTGCTGCTGATGATGCTGAGTATGATGATGATGATGATCATAGTGATGACGACGATGATGATGATGATGGTGGTGATGATGATGGTGATGACGGTGCTGATGATTACGATGATAGTGATGGTTGTGCTTGTGATAATGATGGTGTTGATAATCAGTGATGGTGGTGATTATGCAAGTGATGACGCAGTGGAGGGTTGTGATGCTCATAAGGACGAGGACGACGAAGACGAGGGATAGGCAAGGAAGATGGAGGAAAGATGAGGGTGTAGAGAATCGCGGGAGTGAGGACAGAGGTAGGATGAGGTAGTAGGACGGAAGATAGAGGAGAGCTCGGGATCAGGGAACAAAGAGGACGACGGGAGAAGTACGAATGATCATAGGAACGCTGAAACAGGAATATGAAGAAGTGAGGGTGAGCAGTTGATAAGGATGAGGAGGCCGACTCTGAAGATGAGACAGACTCAAGGGTAGAGACTGCCAGGTTCATATGCCAACGAATTGTATACCAACCTCCCTCTTTATACATACATGTGTATATGTATACATATGTGCTTGTCCCTCCCTCTCTCTCTTTCTCTCTCCCTCGATTTCTCTATCTCTCTCACGCTCCCTCTCCCTCTCTCTGTTCGTCTGCGTCTCTATCTCTCTGTCTCTCTCTCTCTCTTTCTGTTTCTCTGTCTCTCGCCTTCACAACGAAAAACAACGAACCGATGCGCCCAGGCACTGGACAAAGAACACTTTACTCACATGTTCTGCCGCAGGATGCTCGGCATTCGACGGTAGATGAATGATACCCTGAATCAGCCGATCCCACCAGATCCTTCAAGGGGGGCAGCCCCGGGCCCCTTTATTAGCCTGGGGGGAGCAAGAAGGGCTAGAGAAGTAGCCGAAGGCAAGCGGGAGCGGGAACCATACACGGTCTTTGTTCTGCGGCGACGTGGGACACGGGTCGTCGGGCAGTAGCAGCCGAGTCTCGGCAGAACTTATTGCGCTCCAGATCCATCGGAAAAGTGGAGGGCGGCCGCGCAGGAGTGAGGTGGGCGCCCAAGTCGTGCGAAGTGGCCGTAATTTGGCAGAGCACGGTGGAGCGCGCGGGGAACACGCGCAGACTCACATACGTTCACACACACACACAAACACACACACACACACACACACACGCACACACGCACACACGCACACACGCACACACACACACACACATATGCGGCACTTACGCAAGGCTACCCCGAGGAGAGACGTGCCAGGCCCTGCAGTGCTTTGCACTCCGCGACCTTGGCGGGGTCGCCCCCCATGCTCCTGGGGACCGCAGCGTCGCAGAAGGCCTTCCACTCCTGGGCAACAACCGCATGTGAACCCCACCCCTGCAGGCCAGATTTCGGAAGCGCCGGCCAGGTTTCAGGAGGGGAAAGAACACACAGACGCAGTGAATCGTCGATTCCCCAGAAAATATGGGAAAATATGGGAAGTGTGGGGGAAGACAAAAATCCAGAAAATATGGGAAAACATGGGGAATCATTTTATTTGTGTGTATTTATTTGTGTGTCCCAGGGCCTCTTCAAGGGTTGAGAATTCAGAGGTGCCTGCAGCCTGGCGAGGACCCCACGCCGGGGGGGGGGGCGTCCGACGCCCCAGCGCCGATGGGACCCGCAGGGGGTTGGGCTCGCAGTAGGTCGCAGAGCTCCTTGATCATGCAGCCCCCATCGAGGCTCTGCATGGCCCTGACCAGGCCCAGCAGGCCGTGCCAGTGCAGCCGCACCTCCGCCCGCAGATCGGCCGCGCAGCAAGCCACCGCCAGCAGCCTGGCCGGGCTCGCCGCCGGGACGCCCTCGGCGATCTCTGGCGCGCGCAGGGCCCGCCGCGCCAGCTTCAGCGCGAGGAGGCGGAGCACCTCTCTGAGGGCAAACGACGTATGAGTGTCGCGCTGGTCCGTCAGTGTGCTAGTGTTCGACAGGTGTACATCTGTGGACGCAGAACACATGCGTAGCACGCATAGTTCGAACGACGACGCGCGTGCCATTGAACTAAATGGACGAGGAACGCTTTTCGCCGTCGGGGGCGCCTGGGCGGCTGGAAGATGTATACCTCTACAATGGCACGTCAAGGTATAAACTTTCCAGCCGCCCTGGGAGAAACGCCACCGGTGACGGAATAACATATGTTATACTGTTATTCGCCCGCTCACCGATACCCTCATCCCGCCCGAACCTCGACCTCCGCCCGGTTGAGAACCACGTTGCCGCGGGCCACCTCCGCCTCCGCCTCCTTCAGCATGGGGATTTCCTGCAGGTCGCTGGGGCTGGTCCCTCTCTCCGCCCAGCGCCCCCTGTCGAGCTGCCGGCCGTCTGCAACCGCAGCCCATCTGTCCTGCAGAAGGGTCCGTACCTATAAAATCGACATGTGCTTGAAGATGCTGGAACACCCTGCGCATTTTGGTCCAGCCCTTCCTTCGCCAGGCAGACTAACCCCAGAGCATATTCACCTGCAGCATGAAATCCGCTGCTAGCGTACATACCCGACTCCGCATCCACACCTGCACTCGCGGGGGCCTCCATCCCAACGATCGCACCCCCAAGCAAGGCAGCGGATACGCTTCTGTGGCAACTCATGTTAGCCTACCAGATCATCTTGTCGGCTCTTGCGAATCGACGCTGTCCGACGCTAGTCGACGCTCATCGACGCTGGATCGACGCCTATCGATGCTAATCGACGCTAAATCGACGCTAATCGACGCTACATCGGCGCCTTCTCATCGGTTGCCAGACGTTAGCACACGCTAGCGCACTTTCAACTCTGCGTTACGAGGACATAGGCTCCCATGGTTTGCTACCGAAGGACACGCGTTCAGATATTCTTAGAAAGCGCTGGGAGTGTTTTTGATTCGTTTTCAAGATCGACGTTTGTGTTCTGTTGTGGGGGCAATTTGTCTCCGTTTGGGGATTGCCGTCTCGCTGTTTCTGGTTCGTTTTGCGATCCGTTGTCTACTTGTTTTACCTTCAGTGTGATTCGTTATTCTGCTTTCCATTTCTGTGAACTGTTTCATGTTTCTCTGTTTTGGGTTGCCGTTTTTCGCTCGTTCTGGGCCCGGCTGGTGTCCTGCTTGTCATGCTTTGGGCTGCCGCTGTTGTTTCTCCAACTCTCGTCAACCGCACCACGAACGGTCGAGAACGGAACAAACCACGCTCCCAGCTCTTCCTGAACAGCACAAGACACGCACATCAACACAACCAACTACTCGTAAGTCGGGCGCGTCCCCCTACAGGGGGGTTTCTGGCGAAACATAAAAAATACCCCAAACAGCCTCCCAAATGGTCAAAAAATGCTACAAAAATAGTCCCCATATTATTTGTTCTGTTATCTTTGAATATTCCCCCTGTAAAGGGACAGGGCCGACTTGTTTGTTCGTTTGCCCCCGCTCCGGCGTCGGGGGCTCCGCGGGGCGCTGCCCCTCGGCGGCCCGCTGGGCGCCGCCGTCCGCGGGCCGCTCCCGAGCGCCGCCACGGCCCGCCGTGGCCTCGGCGTCCGCCGCGGGGGCAGCGGGGCCTCCTGAGCGGGCGGGCCACTGGTGCATCCCCGGCCTCGAAGCCGTCTGTGGTTGAGGGGTGAAAAAACGACCGTGCCCTGGGTTACAAGTGCGTGGTCTGTAAACCTCCTGGGAACCCCCAGAGCCTAGAGCCGCCAGGACGCGGCACATCACGCAGGGTTTACCCTGTCAGCCCACAGGAGTTTCAGCGCACAGCGCCTCGTAAACCAGGGTAGGGGCGTTTTTTATGCCCTTGACGTAGGGGGGCACATGCGAGACCTACCCCTGCCCCCCAGGATTTCTGAGGGGGGGGGGTGGGGTTCACCTCGTTCGGGAGCTCCCTAACGAAGTGAACCCCACCCACCCCCCCCAGAAAACGCGGGGGTAGGGGTAGGGTTCGCATGTGGTCTCCTTGTCTGGGGGTCCGAGGTGGCTCATCACTGGTTCCAGCGAGCGGGGAGGGGGGGCAGAGGATCGAGGCATTGGGTTCGACAAAGTCTTGTTTTTTTTCGGTCTCTGGTGGTCGTTTTCGGACCGCGGGACCGCCAAAAACGGATCCGCGGTAAGATGCTGCACCAGATGGACTCCAGGTCCGATTTTCTGGGGTCCGAAACATTTCAGACCCCCTCAGCACAGATTTTCTGGGGTCCGAAACATTTCAGACCGCCTGACCCCTTCCAACCCTCGGCCGGTGCTGAGGATCTCGGGGCAGGGACGCCTCGCGAAACTCCAGGGGAGATCTCAGCGAATGATACGGTGCGGGCAGGGGAGTGGGAACCATTGAGTAAGGAGTCCAGGGTCTGGAAGCTGGTGGAACACCAAATGAGGCTTGGCCATGGACATCACCGCCGCCCTCATCATAGAAATAAGAGAGCAACAAGTGACATAAACATAACAACTCGGAGGTCCGCGCGGATTTCTCGGATCCGCGCTGGGGCCCACCGGCGGCGCCTTCGGCGCCGCCCCTGGCGCGCTCCGCGCGCCAGGGAGGGGGGTCAAGCGCCGATGCGAGAATTCCGCGCGGACCTCCGAGTTTTTACGTTTACGTCACTTAGTGTTCCCCTAAGAAAGAACCATCCAGGGTCTGAAGCCTCCTGGGCACATTCCTAAACGAATGCCCCCGCGGAAAAGGACACAAGGTGGGGGGAATGGCCGCTGGGTGCGGCGACGCCGTCGAGGCAAGGAACTATGTTGCCGCAGTCTGATGTAACCTTACAGTTCGTGGCGACGCGTTGCAAACATTGCTCTGTACGACATGAGACAGTGCACGTCGGTTGGAAGAAGTAGGTAGACACATGAAGTAGGAAGGCGGATCAAGTAGATTGGGTTCGGGCCCGCCCAAAAAATAACAAGCATCAGCCAAACCATATCGATTATTGAAATAGGAAGGCGCTTGAAGTACATTGGGTTCAGGGATTCCAGAAATACCTACTTTCAACGACCGACGGGTAACCGCCTCAAATAAGAGTTAATCACGCTTGTTTGCGCAAGACGACTGCGAACCGAACCTCGACCAAAGACATGATGAGGCTCAGAGCATGTCTCGCTGTCGTTTGGATGTTGCCCTGGCTTGCTGCGGTCTGAATTGGTACGCTGTGTATTGTTTCGCGTCGCTTCGATCTGCCGCGCAGCCCATGGCAACGGAACAACATCTCGTTGCATGATTGGTTTGGATTGTGTTGCATCGCTGGGCTGTGATTCGCAACGCTTTTCCCGAACAGCGCTTGCATGATCCAAACGGACATTCCCCATTCAATGCTCGAAATGGCGTGGCGAAGCCGCCGGGCCAACTCCATGGGCGAACGGGGAACCCGGCTCCTGGTTCCTGGGCTCCTGGCTCCTGGACTCCGCATCCATGGGACGTGGCAGGTATACTCTGACCCCGAGGTTGTCATGCCCATGTCGGCCTCTCCTCCTCGCACGTGGCCGCGCGCCACGTCCGTCAGTCTACAGCCGCTCTAGCGCCCTCCTCGCGGTGGGAATTATGTCAGCCTCTCCTCCTCCTGCGCCTCTCTCTGTACTCCCTTGTGTGCCGCCGTTGTGGCTCACGAGGGCCCTTGCGTGATCCGGCGCGCAGACGACGGGCGCGACCTGGCTCCCTGTGAAAGGAGAGAGAGCGTGCTCTCTCCTAGCACGGGTCCCCCGATTTGTACTTCGTGCCTCTCTCTGTGTTGCATGCGGCTGCTCCCGTACAGTCCACAGACCCTTGCGAGCACAGGCGGGATAGAGAGAGCAGGCCACGGCAAGCAGAGAAAGTGTGTCAGGGAGAAAGAGAGAGACAGAGAGAGAGAGAGAGAGAACAACAACAAATCAGAGAGAGCGAGAGAGAGAGAGTACAGAGAGCAAGGGCATGTGAATTACAACATAATTGAATGGGCAAACGGCCTCTCGGCACTACGCGAAGCTGCTCCGCAATGGCTCAAGGGCGAACCAACGCCGATCTAGCAGGCTGCGGTCAGCCTGCAGCCAGGGCGGGCAAGTATGATCCTGCTAGAATGGTGGGGTGGAAGCCGCACGTTGGGGTCTTCTAAAATATGATATTCTAAGTTGCTTGGCTTTTGCGACGCCATTTGGGACGCCCATCCTGCGCAACCCTGTCCCGACAAATTGAATCAGTGTACGATCCTGGCGTGCCCACGGTGGCTGCAAATGGGCACCTGGAAACCCTGGGCACGCGATCGCCCACTCTGGGACTCTGGGGGTCTACTTTTGCCACCGACAGCCGCCAGCTTCTGCAGGCTTCAGACGGCCCTCGCCCAAGAAAGTTACTTAACTCATCGATCCCTCGAGGGCAAGGCCAGGTCTGTCAGAAGAGGGCCAACTCAGACAACGGCGGATCTCCCGCCTGGCTCAAATCCGCTCAACACCCGTTCCTGGCAGGAAGTTCCTGGACCCATCCCCGGTTCCATATCGGACATGGACTCGGGGACGGGTCCGCTTCGAAGAACTGGCGTGGAGATGGCACATCCTGGCCCCGTTCTCCGAAGCGGATCTGACCCTGCCAGCCGTGGCGAGGAGAGGCCCACAGGAGGCCCTGAGATAGGACGAACCGTGCCAGGGAGGGGCAGCCACTGTCTCGACTGCCCCCTCCCCAGCTCCTGGAACGCCCCACCGAACAGCAGGGGTGTGCGGCTCTGCCCGCGGCAACCGAGAGGCCAACACCAGACCCCCGACGTCGCGACTGCCAAGGCCCGCCCACACGGGGACTCTGATAAACCAGGGCGCTGGCGCGCTCTGGACAACTGCAGCGGTGGGCCAGCGCATGATCCGGCCTCCGTACCTGACGAAACGAACGCTCAAAGCCCTGGCCAGCAGGGCCCTGGTTTAGGGCCCCTGTCTTCTCTTTGTTCGCAGCGCGGGCCCCTGGAGGTCTCGACACACTCCCAGGACCGGCTTTTCATCCTGAGTCGTTCTGGGACGGTCCCGAGGCCCCGCGAGGGCCTCCTCCGTCGTGACATCTTCGCATCGCGAGAGGCTGCCAGGGAACCCCATGGCCCACAACACGCCGCACGGCACCGGCCCCGCCGCCTGCCAGCTCTGGCCGCCGCGGTGGCTGGGCAGGCCCGCGCTGGCGCAGCTGGCGCGAGTCCGCCAGCGACTCCAGCGCGCCCAGCCGCGCTTGCTGCGGCGCCGCGGCCGGCGGGGGCGGCCCGGGCGGCGGTGGCGGCACTGGCGGCGGCGCAGGGGCTGGCGCCTCTGGCACGGTGGGAGCAGTGGACCAGGAAACTGAGGTACCCAGACATGCTCGCGTCGAGAAAAAATCTGGACAGGAGGTTTTTGGCGGTTGTCCGCCTCTGGGGGCCCTTACCGGGCCCCGGGACCGTCAAAAACGGCTCGAGATGAA